GTTGATTTCAGTCATGAAAATGTAAAATAAAATTTTGTTCATAATTTTTAGATTATAAAAATAGTTTTCGAAAGGAAATGTATATTTTTTTATGTACCAATTGATGCATCTTTGTGTTCTCTCTAAGAAGGTATTAGGGTACTTGGACGAAAATTGATTAGTTATGATTTTTGTCCTGAATGCTCATAGAGGGTCCGACCAAATAATATGTTAAAACAGGCACCACGTGATTCCTTATCAAAAAACCAGACAAAAATATTCAATATAATGTTATCACTTTCTGCTTATTTTTCGAGAAAATCGATTTTGAATATGTGCTGGTTACGCGTGCAATTCAATAGGATTTGGCTAGCGCGTCTGTTCATTGCATTCCGCTTCTACTTACCACCTCGAGGAATACGTACGTTTCAGATTATGTAATTTTCAAATTTGATTTTCTCGAAAACTAATCGGAGAATGATATCATTTTATTCTATATTTTTTTCTTATTTTCTTTTTGTATAGGGCATCACGTGGTGCCCGATTTTACATATTATTCGGTCGGATCCTGTATACTTGACACACTGTAGTTTGGTGTGAATCAGTAGAACAGTTACGTAAGGTTTGGTAGCACATGACCTGTGATCACGTTGAACACTCCTTAGAATTTCACTAACGTACGACCTATTGCACTCGTGGGCCTTATGTGAAACATCACCCAAAAATATTCAAATTCGATTTTCTCATTAAAGAAACTTTCACCTGAAAAAATTTTATTCTTCATTTTCCATTTAATATTTTGCGTATATACTGGGTGTGCATTTGGAAACTACCAATCTGAATATCTCGAAGACAATGTGTTCGGTAATACTTGGGAAGAAGGAGAGCCTTCAATGATTTCAAATAAATAACAGATTTATTGTCAATCACACGATGTACAATACAAATAAAGACGTTGCACAAAACGATGGTACGCACGATTAAACGAATAAAAGCACGATCCCAATAACAGAGCGTTTTTGTCGGACGACACAAGACGGACGACTGTAGAAATTCATAGGGTTACATTGTAGAGCGCACACGAGAAACGTCGCATAATGGGCCAGATCGAAGAGTTAGCTGTTCATTTGCCAAAAAATCCAATTCCTCATATTGATGTTTAACGAATGTATATTGCTTTCTAAATGTGTATCACATTCGAAAACGAGGAAAGTAATGGAATATATTAAAAACTGTAGTTAAAACAAGCATTTAAAGATCAAACTTTTATAAATACCATTTTTCACCGAAAAAATTACTTTTTCTCACATTGATGCCTCGGAAAACTTACTAAACATTATGTGTCCATGTTTTTTTTATGAATAGTAGATGTCGATATTGAGAAGGCACCTGGATTAAAAAGTTATTGTTCATAATTTGTTTAAAAGAATAATACTCAGTGAGGTAAAGATAATCGTCGAAGTTTTTCCCCTTTGACAAGGAGTACCTTTAAAGTTTTAAAGAGTTATGCGTTCTATCAAAGTGGAATATTTTCAGGCGTTATTTCGCTATAAAATCATGTAAGATTCTCTTCCCCCATCGTCCCACCCCATAAATTATTATTGTGTATAGCGTCGCGTGACATGCACTTCAGAGGCGAGTTGCGTTGCACGAGACCCGTTGCAGACCACTACTTACAGAGATTAATGTTAAAAGAAGACCTCCAAGACGATGATGATTCATTATAGATAATAAATTTTGTATAAATAAATTAATACATTGTAAAGCTCTAGTGAAAAGGTTATTATCTTTGTTAATAAAAATAATTGCATAGATTTGTGTTTATTAATAGACAAATAGTAAATAAAAGTTTATTAATAAAGAATAATAAAAATGACAATGCTTTATTTCTTTGTAAGCCAAAAATCCGTATGGTTAATTTATTATATTCACTAATTTTCTAAAATGTAACACTTCTTCTTGTTTGAATATGTAAAATTTTGTCAAGAAGAAAATAATCACATATTCTTCTTGTTTGATTAAATGTAATAAAATTCATTGATTCAAGAATGATGGATTACTCTATTTGTGTGAAAAGCCTGAACAGCTAGTTTTCAATTATAATTCATTATTCACATGTCATCACGATTGTTCAGGCATTTCCGATGCTCTGACAAAAAAATGTTTCCAACAAAGATTAGTCAGCACTTCCTGTTCTACAAATTTTTCTACAGCGTCTTGCCCCGTTGGTTCGCATGTAAACAAACATCGGTCGGTGTGAGATTTACATGACAACTCCGTCACTGTATGCGTGTCGCTCTCGAGACCGCGTGTCCCAGAGACTGTGCTCGGAGGGTTAATCGACTGAAATAAAAAGTTAATGAAAGTGTCTGAAATTGGCTTTGAAAAGCGGTACACGAGATAACACCTATTGTAGGTCCAATTTTAACTTACCAAATTTGTTGCGTCGGTTTTAGTAATCGACGCCGTGTCGCACGCTAAATTAATATTGTGCGACTGATGACAAAGTTCTCCTTTTAGAATAACTGATTACTCCTTGAAGGTAGTATGTAATTTTATTTTTGTAGGGTATGGTCACAATTGACAAATTTGAAATCAAGTGTTTGATATCGAGTCATTCTTATCTAGTGTCGCGGGTTGTGCGAATAACGCTGTATATACGTTTGTCAATACTCCCCCCCTCCCTCACCCTCTCCCTCTCCCTCACCCTCTCCCT